CTCTCTCTCTCTCTCTCTCTCTCTCTCTCTCTCTCTCTCTCTCTCTCAGCTCTGGAAGGAACCCAGGAGCCTGTGGGCCAGTTCTAGAGATTCCCTTGCTTTAATTCATAAAGTTTTATTGGCACACAGCTGTGCTGTCTGTGGCTTCTTTAGTGCTACCCAGCAGCGAGGAGTCAAAATAAGAAGTTGCTCATGTTTTGTAAGCTGAAGATAGTTATCCTCTGGCCCTTCAGAAGATGTATGTTGACCTTCTGGCTCTAGGCTGTGTAGCTGAGGGAAAAAAAGGGTACACATTTTCTGAGTGTCCTTTTGAGCATCTGTGCAAAGACATCAGAGTGGGACAGTAGTCACTGTCTAAGATAGTTTAGTTTGGTCATTGTATTTCATCACATCATACAATTTAGGGTTCAAGATGTAAGGAGGTTGTGATGCCACCACCATAGTGTTGGGATGTAGGGATGTGCTCTCATAACAGCAAAATACAGTGGGCCTTCACAGCACAATTCACTGAGGATGAGGCCATCTATGCCTTCCCACTGACTTCCTCCCATCCATGAGGGCATCGCCTGGCCTGACGGCTTCTGTTTACACATGGATTGCTAACCACGGATCTTTCACATGGGGCTGGGCTTCCTTGAGTGTTAGCAATTCTAGGGCAGAGCTGAGGGTAAAGGAGTTGTGCTTTTTCCCCTGCCTGCCTCTTAACCTGACAAGAGTTCTATGTCGTGCCCTGAGGATTTAGAAAAAGGACATCGAAAGCTACATTTGAGAAAGCTAACATAGCAATTCCAGACAGCTCTGGCTGGTGGCCTCAGTTTCAAACAGTGAAGGAAGGATAGGGGTGGCCTAGTTGATTCCCACATACAGAGGCCCTGGAGTGGAACCAGGTCTTCAGCATTTCTGTGCAGCAATCTCCAGGCGCTCGGCAGACTCACCACACTGTCTGTGTGTGCCACGGCTTCGTCTCTCACACTCTCCTGCATCTCTCAGCAACATTTCCACAGCAGATCCTCAGGTTGGACAAGGAACCTGCCTCCCCTGCCTGCCAGTGGATGGACACAGCTCTAGTCCTCTGTGCCCAGCCCCCATTTAAATACTGACGTGAGAAGCTCGTCCCATTTCAAGACAAGGTCAGATCCGCTCTAACAATACAAAGGACATATCAAAGCTCTCTGGTGGCACATCTTTACCCTTTTCACACTGTACAGCAGCATAAGGGAGTACAGGACATGCCTGGATCCTGACCTCACCTCCAGAAGCTAAGGTTTTGGCTAGAATAGGATGTCATATAACGAGAACAGACCAGTGAGACCTGACCCTCTCTAATAGCAACCTAATAAATCATCTTCCAACTGATTCTGAGATGACTCAGGATCTCCCACAGGATCGTCAATAACAAGTTCCTAACACACTGATATACCAGCCTCTGAGCAAGGTTCTTTTGAAAAGTTACCATCTTGCCTTCTACATGGGCTGTGCTTTGGGACTCACCCAAGAGGATGGAGTAGCCTCTCCTGCATCCTGCTGGCTCTCCTGCATCCAGGTCAGAATGTATTAGCTATAAATACTTGTGTACACTGGCCAGGACCTAACACCCAGGTTATAAGACTGAAGTTGTAAAAGTTAGGAAGCAACATTGCTGCAATTAACGTATTATCTAGGTGTATGATTTTCAACACACAGTCCTACATATAACAGGAGAGAAGACACGTTCTCTGATTGCTGGTGGGTACGAGAGGGGTTCCTGAGTTCTGAATGGGTCTACGGGATGCAGGAAAAGGTTTTACAGATTTGCTTTTCAAGTACTTTTATGGTGTAAGAGAAGAAAGTCCTTCCTTATACAGGAGAACTTCAATTCTAGCTACGGGAGTTTCTAGGGACATCCGGGTAGGATTCTAGGCATACTTAACAGATGAGATGAGGCCCTAAACTCTGGGATAAGCAATCTTGGAATAAGGCATTGGTTTGGAAAAGCCCAGTTCTGTGAGGAAGACTAGCTGTTGATTGGATGGACCTGTTTGCAAGGTCCCATCTACTTTAAGTGGGGCAGAGAAGAGATAAAGGCTGGGGGTGTTTTAGGCTCTGAGCCTTGAAGCTGGTGGTCATCTGTAGCTTGCAATATGCAGACTGCCCCGTGCAACAGAGAAAAACTAGACAGAGGAGGGGAAAATAACATTGGTTTCTTTCTGAAATATCAGTTCTTAACCAGGATGACAACTGCTTTTCTGGGTTTTAGGACACCTCCATGCCCAGCAAGAACATAAGACTATAATTAATTATGCTAGGCCTGATGCCTGGGGACCAGAAGACAAGAAGAGCCATCCCACCTGCTACCAAACCACTGCAGAAGCTTCTAGAAGAAATGGAACCAAACAAAATATAGAAGCGATATGCTCTGAAAATAGATGGCCAGTGGCTGGACTGAGGTTAGGCATTTTAGAACTGGGCCCTTGGCTGGGGAAGCCACCAGGAAGCCTTCCTCTCTTGCTGGTCCATGAGTTTTCATGTACTTCAAAAGAGAGAGGCCATGGTTTGCCTCTCAGGGTCTGCTGCCTAGGGACTGACAGGTTGATGGAACAGTGTTCTGCATGTACCATGGAAATATTAGGTGAGTGTTGTGAGCTGATATCTGGGGAAGGGATCAGAACTCCCTCCAGTTCTGAAAGTGTCTCAGGACATCAGCAGCTCCCTTCCTCTGCTGCCCTCTCCACCCACCGCCTGATGCAAAGAGACCTCGCTGGACAAGCTTCCTCAAGGCAGGCAGCCTTTCTTCCACAGATAGGAAGATGGGGAAATTAACGGGGGTAATATGAGCTCATTTCAATAATAATGATCTTATGTACATGCCAGGGTTTGATCTTTTCTGATGTGTAGATTCCTGGCAGGAACCATGATCCTATGTAGGTAATCAAAAGAACTGAAAATAGACTTTTTTTTTTAAATCCTCAAACAACAACAACAACAACAATAAGTATAAAACCACCCCAACCAAACTTGAAACAAATGAAGGAAAAAGACTTAAATATCGTTCTCTGCAGAAGGGAGGCGGGATATTGGACAGACATAAATCCCTTTTCTTCTTCCTTTAAAAATTGTTTTTAACGGCTTCGAGAGTAATGAATCGTACGTGACTAAGAATAGACCCGGGGCACTGGCTGATGGGACCTCGGGAGGCACTCAGTGTAAGGAACCATCAATATTTTTTTTGAGCTGTCATAAATCCAGTTAGTGATTTTTGACCATTCAAAAAGGTATTTCTGACTGCTTGATCCACTTCTTAGTGAATTAGGGAATGACAGAAAAAACACAAAAGGAAATTTATCGATTTAGATTATAAGCAGCCCAGCTTCATGATTTCCGCTCTGTGCTGAAGGAATCAGGATGTGAGGTTTAGAAATGCTCCCTTGTGCCCACCGTTCCCTCCTTTCCTCTTTTCCTTCCTTCCACAGAAGAAGGAGGGGAAAATCTCAGAAATTCATTCAAGAATTATATGGTAAATACCATGCCGCTTGTGTCTCGTGGGATCCCTGGGCCAGGAGCTGCTCTCTGCAGATCAGACTCCACAGGGGAACAGGGATTTCATGATCACTCCCCCTCCCCATCCCAGTATCCATTTGGTCCAACTCAGGTTTAGGATTGTGCTTTGAAACATCTAGAATTGCCATGGGGTAACAGTATCAGGGTGCTGATTTACAAGATCGGAAAGGCATAAATTCAAGACACGTAGGATCACCACACTGCTGATCAGACACTTCACAATGCAGGCTTTTCATTGGGACGACAGACAGACAGATTATGCAGACAGACAGACAGACAGAGACAGAAGGCAACAACGGCAGAAGGCCAACATCACAGTAACTGCCATTGGATATATCACAGGTGAGTCACAAACATCCCGAAGCCATCTCCCTGACTTGGAGAGAGAACCCCTTGCTACACTATGTTAGTGTGGTGATTTTTAGTATCCTCTAGGTCAATGGAAAGAACTTAGGCAAGCAGATTTGGCTTGGCAAAGCAATGGGAGACTCTCTTTTAGGCATCGGTTTGTTTTGTTTTGTTTTGTTTTGTTTTGTTTTGTTTTGTATGAGATAAAATATTGGGAAGCTTGCAAGTCACCGTATCTGGTTTTGCTTTTTTAGGTGAACTTTCTTCCCCTCCTCAACTTATGGATGAAAAATAAGAGGGAAGTCCACACTTTGAGATACTGTCTCCTTCCCATGCCTTCTGTATGGGCATTACACAGAAAGTTGGACCCCAAAAGTACAGGTTTCAAAACGGAATGAAACTTGACTTTCGTGATTGTCTATACTGTATTTACAGCATTGGCTTTTGCTTTTTTTTTTCCTTTTTCTTTTTAAAGATTTTGTTTAAATTTTGTTAATGGGTATGTCAACCCCATTGTGTTGTCAGATTTTGTTTTTGTTTTTGTTTGTATGCACAATTTAGCAGTGATATTTTGGGGGAAATGAACTGAAGGAAGAGGATTCTAAAACTTACCACACAAGTCTGGCCTCTTGATACATCCAGAATTTGCTGTGCTGCTTGCAAGCCCGTTAAAGGCTGCTAAGCCATCGGCGCTGTAGGCCCTGAGGACCGACAGCATGCTCACAGGTTTCTCCAAGCCTGGGGGACCCCGCTCAGGCTTGGGCAGCCCCACCGAGGGGTCCTGGGCAGGAAGGAGGCCTGGGCTGTGCCACTGTTCCTCGGCTGCTTGGGCTAAAGGTGAGACCAGTCCCTGCATGGGCTGGGGGGCACCTGGGGGCAGCAGGCCATCACTGCCCTCATTGCCACCATCCTTGCTGAGAGCAGACAGTGGCTTGCTCATCATTTCTGGTTCGGTGTCGATCTCCTCGTCCTCATTGTTTTCTCCCTTGGAGGAGTCCATGTCCTCGGAGGAAGCAATATCAGAGAGGTCATCAGTAGTGTTTTTGTTTGTGGTTTCCGGGATCAGGATAGGGGCATCATCTTCCGGGTGGGTTTTCCCCTCGGGGTTCTTATTGAGGCAGGAGCCGGGGGCTCCTGAGCCAACCATAGTCGGGTAAACGCCAAACTGTTTGTAGAAGTCAGATGGAAAGGTACAAAAGGCAGGATCCATGTGGCTGGGCCACTGACCACTCTTTTGGTCCCCTAGAGTCTCTTTGGCCGGTCCTTGGGCCATCTTCTCTGGAGCAGAGTCGAGCACACCGACAGCACTAGGAAGGGCCATCTCTTTGTTTGATTGTAGGGAAGGCAGTACAGAGACCTTGCTGGCTTCCCGCCCCTGTTCTTTGCAGTTGACTGTCACCCCTGCGGGGTGATCTTTGCGCTTCGCTTTGCCTAGGTGGTTGGCCTGGAGGTGAAGGGCCATCAGCTCCATGGAAGAGGTGGTGAAAGCACAGAACAAGCAGCCGTGCCACGCAATGCTGTCTTGCACGGTCACAGAGGAGCCAGGGAGAGTGGTGGCGTCTGGCCGCACAGACAAGTCCAGTGGCTCATACTGAGACTTCTCAGACTTTCGCTGGGAAGACTTCACACTTGCTTTCTCCTCTCCACCCTCCCCAGTGTGGGCTTTCATGGGATGGGCATCAGATGGGACCTTGTCTTTCGTGTCCTTTTTCTTCAAAGAGCTGAGGACAAAGCTGTCCATGAATGCCTGCAGGGACCCTTGGAAATTCACACCATTGCTCACGATGTTTTGGTAAGCTCTCCCGATCTCTGAGAAGTGGGAGCTTTTGGAAGGAAGGTCGGAGCCTTTTAGGGCATCTGAAGACAGCTCTGAGGACATGCCGGTGGCCTGCCCTGAGTGATCTCCAGAGGAGAGCATGCCCGATGTCCACTGCTGAGAGGCAGGACCACCTCGGAAGTCGATTCCGGGGAGACCTTTAAAGGCTCCTCGCAGGATGTCTGGCCTGATGAACATAGGCGCTTTGCTGGAGGTCTCATCCTTGTGCTCCTGGTTCGAGGGCTGTCCTGACAGGGGCCCGGCTCCATTCTGCCGCTCCCGATGGTGTCTCTCCAGGTGATACTTCAGGGATGCTGACTGGGTGCCGGCATAGTCACAGTGGGGACACTTATAGGGCTTCTCACCTGCAAGATATCGATGGAAGAGAAAAACAAGTGTTTATCACATTTTTGGAGTGCAGAACAAGGGTAGAAGGATCAACATTTGTTCTTTGAAACAAAGCAGCCCAAACTAATAATTAGCCAGAGAACGACTGTTTTTTAATAGAAGAATAATTTGTGCTCTTAAGCTTTTTTAATGATTTTGTACCATTGGGGACTATTGAGGGATGACACACTATCTACACACAATTAGCTATCTTTTTCTTTATCTAACATGTGAGAACGGCTGTAGATTTAAAGGCTATGATTATGAAAATTAAGCATAATAATTTCGACCACAGTGATCATTAAAAGTAGAAGTTTAAAGAGACCGGAGTACGTAACAAATGAGTGGCTGCGAGTATTTTGTGTATACAAGAGCTCTAGAATTTGTTTAAATTATACACATGGAAACCATTTTTAAACCTAAAAATTCTATGGCACTGTTACGCAAGACTGGAATGAATGATTTAAGCCTTGCTCCACAGTAAATCATGGATATAATTAGCAAATGGCATTCCGCACAAGCAATTCATCATTATTTGGAGGGCACCATTCCAGACGGGCTCTGATATCTGCAGACCTACTGCATTGTCTCTAAATAAAGAACTATAAATACCGATTCTATAAAATATTAATATCATTACAGTGCGCTCGGATGGCGGGATGTAAAGACATATTGTTAAGATGAAAAGCAGCCGATAAAACTTAAGAGAAAAAAAGGAGTAATAAAAAGACAGAGTATATTTAGTTTCTGGATTCGAAATTAACATTATCTGCTGGTCTTTGTCGAGCCTAAAATTTGCACTAATGGTGGTCCTGATGCTGAGGTGGTGTGCTGTGTAATTTACCTGTAATGGGTGATTTCTGGAGTACAAAAATAGCTTTAAAGTGTGTTTTGGAACATATAAGATTATTTTCATGAATTAAATATTTATCTGAATCCAACACTCAACTTCTATTGTTCTTTGTGTGATGGAGAGAGAGTCCCTTAACAGACAACTTACATGGAGGGTGGAGGAGGACGTAAACAGATGTGGATTTAAACACATTCCAAGGATTTGCCAGCAATCCTGGGTCTGCTCTAGACTTTGGACCCAGAAGTCTCTGGGGAACAGAGAGGCTGTAGTAATAGCTTTAAACTTCAGTTCTCTATAAAAAAATCTACAATGATTTCTCCTAGGAAGCTTACCCCCCAACACAAGCACTCACGCACGCACGCACGCACGCACACACACACACCTATCCTGATCACCTTGTCCTGTTTTTTATTGTCAAACATCTAGAAAGCCAGACAAAGCACTGGTGGGTGGATGCTCTGAAGGCATTTCACTGCATCTAGTCGTGGGAATATTGTGTGTCAAGCCCCCATCCTCAAAGCAGAGGTGTGTTTGGGGGCTTCTTTAGAACAGAAATACAAACAGCCCAGGTGCTGAATCAGGGATACCATCCTGCATCTGTGGGCTCTGTGCTCAACCTAAGGGACACTCCACCTGCCATATTCAGATGAGGGTACCAAGAGCTCTTAAAGCATGCCCACAATTGGCTAAGGCCTCCTTGGGTCCTTCTGTGCTCTTTGGGTCTATTTTTTTCACAGTTGCCATGGCTACATCAAAACTATAAGTATGGGGCTGGAGAGATGTCTTAGCAGTTAAAGAATACTGGTTGTTCTCCCAGGGGATCTAGGTTAGGTTCCCAGCATCCACATGGTGACTTGTTGTGATCACAACTCCTGTTAGGATGCCCTCTTCTGGCTTCTGTGGACACTGCATGCACATGGTGCACAGATATACATACAGACAAGCACACTCATATATGTAAGATAAAAATAAATAAATCTTTTAAAATCTGTAGACATAAAGAGACAGACTTTACGAAGACCATTTCTTGACTTTGAGATTCAGGTACCCCTGAGACACTGCTGCATGGCCAGGGAAGCACTGGAAATATAAAGTGCAATTAGTCAGCTGATGTCAGCTTCCATTCGCCTGGAAGCCTAGCAGCTAGGTGTAGTAAGAGGCTAGCCATAGGACATATATCTGGAGCACCAGACTAGAAACCCAGGGTCCTGATTGACAGGTCAGTGCAGACAGGGTAAGAGAGTTCAGAATGTGAACAGCCGCAGAAGGGAGACCAGCAGGTACCTGAGAGGATCAAGCTGCTGTTCATAAGAGGACCTGGAAGTGATTGAGTGCCTTTGATGAAGGGTCTATAGAAACAACATGAGCTTTTGTTACCAGATGGCAGGAGAAGGCAGCTTTGACTCAGGCCTGAGATGGGCAAGGCAGGACCACAGGGACATACAGGGATTTGTGTTTTATTCTTCCCAGGGCTACATGTTTGAACTGCACACTGGAGTGTTGGTTCTCGGTCCAGGCTGTGCAAGGCAAACAGCAAGGAGTCAGTATAGGCGACAGTTCTGGATCCCCAGGTCTGGGATGGGGTCCAGGAGTTTGGATTTCTTCAAAGTGTTGCTAGCATGTAATTTTTATATGCATACTCACCGTAATGATTCCTCTTTGCAAAAACCAACATGGGAGGCCTTAACGGGTGCTCTATCTCCCCAAATTCTGAATTAAGAGGCCTAAAAGTACCATCAGGACTCTCAATCCTTCCAAACTCCTCAGGTGTTTCTCCGCATTGCCTGCACGGGGACCATGCTAGTTTCCCTGAGCAACACCTCCAGAGTGAGAGCAGTGACATAGCTTGCCCTGAAGGCAAACTAAACACTCTGTGCTTCTCTGTGCTCCACTGGACATGGGATCCTGTCTTGGGACATTTGCTGCCTCGGCCTGTGAGATTTGAGAGATGTTAGAGGCCCCTGCAGCTTCATCTTCATTCTCAACTGACACTAGGCCTCCAGAAGGGGCCAGAGACGTGTGTGTATATGTACACACATGTACAGAAATGTGCATATTTGGACATCTACACTTAACGAATGTATGAATGAGCACTCCTTTCCTCTGAGCACTCAGGCTGGCCCTGGGTGAAGACCAGAGGTAAAGAGGTAAAGAACAGACCCTTCCCATTGCTCTCAGGAAAGACATCACACATGCATAGTCTCACACACAGCCAAGACAGCATCTCTAAACTTCAGAAGGTCCCTTGGCTTGCTCTGGTCCCAGCACAGAAACCAGATTGGTCTACTTAAATGATAGAGTCTCATTGGACCTATGACTAAAGAGCTTCCTCTTGGATTTTCCTTTCCATTCCTTTTCTATTAGATTTGCTTTTATTATCGTAAGTATGTGTGCACACGCACAGGACCCTAGGAGGCCTGAGGTCAGAGGCCTAGAATCCCCTGAAAATCAAATTACAGGCAGTTGTGAGCTGTCATGTGGGTGCTAGGAATCGAACTCGGCTCCTCTGAAAGAGCAGCAAGCTCTCTTATACCATGTGGCCATCTCTCTAGCCCCTTCCTCTGGGTTTTTCAAGCTCTGTTTTGGCTGCAAAGGTTGAGGAAGCCCTCCACCCACCTTTACCCTCCTATGGTGCTGTCTCTTCCCACTCTGACAGCTATATAACCTGACTGGGTCCTAAAGGGCCTTTGTTTGGGTGGGCACTTCTTGCCTCCCTACCAAGTAAGTACTTCAGACTGAAGATGAGATAAATCAAAAAAAAAAAAAGCCTCTTGATTTAAGTGTTTTCATAGTTTCTAAGTGGTTTGAAAACCCTGATCCCCAGTCCTCTGATGTGCTGATTTTTTTTTCCACTTCCTGGGCTTCTACCGAGGGGCAGACCTAAGAGCTGGCTATGCCCTGTCACGGGCTGGGCCTGAGAACCTTGGGTTATCTGTCCCACCGGGAGCATCCCAGCTGTTACCACACATTTGCTCTCCCAAAGGATGCATTCGGACGTGCTCAGGAGGCAAACTTTGCACAACATTGGCCTGGATGAAGTCGGGTAAGAAATGGCAAAGAAGATCATCGTATCAGCAGGTTTAGCAATTTGGAGGGGTGGTAAAGGTCCCTCCTCTGTTTGGCCAGCAAACAAATGCTGAGTCCACCTGTATCGAACAAATGGCTTCATGGTCAAAGCCACCATGTCTGGACACATTCTTCCAGCCTGGCTCCCTGGGCTAACTGTGACAAGCTCCAAACTGCAGACATGGCCAGAATTCTGCACTAAGCCAGGCTGTAGGCTTGCCTAGTTTCCTCCTAACTTAGATTTGATTCTGTTGGAGACTTGGAAAACCATCCCCTGTGCAGCTGGGTGGTGCAGGTAACCTCAGACCTTGTCAGGAGCTCTGTCTAGTTGAATGATTGTCCACTTAAGCCACAAAATGAGTCTAACTCTCCTCAGGGAATCCCTCAGACTGCCCCAGGCTTTGCTGGGGGTTGAGTCCTCCAGTTATCTTCATGATGTGTGGGATTCTTGGTCCTCGTATCTGTTTGTTGTAAGCCTCCTGAGCAGATCAAAGGGGCACAGGAAGCAGTGGCGAGGGGGAGGAAGGCTTCTCGTGAGGACCAGCGTCCAGTCAACTTTAAGTCTCTCTGTTTTTCTAAGAAAATGCGCCTATCCAGATGCTCACATAGCTACCTTCATTGATACACTACCATCTCATATTAGAACTCTGGACACTCAGAGGGCCATGCTACCCTAGCTGGGAGAATGGGTCTAGAACAGGAAGCTGATTCAAAACTTGTGCCTTAATACAAAGATGTCCGAGATCAGGCTGTCCACCGCAGGGGTGGTGAAGGTAAGAGCATTAATGGCCCTCTTGCAACATCTTTAAAGAAATTCAATGTAGGCCCATACAATGTATTTTTAGAAAAGAGTTTGGCTAGATAAGACATAAATTTTTTTAAAAAAATGCAGTGCATCATTTTGGTGAATTAATAAACATATAGGAAACATCTTAAAATTAAGCCAGCTTTTCACCACTGTGTAGCATGAAGTATATACTCAGTTTGGGAGTCTCATTGATAACCTCCTCCTTAATCACTAGACTGGGACCAGGTAGTTCAATCACTTCTTCACACTCA